CTCAGATACGAAGGTCAGATAAAGAGCTTCACTAATAAAAAAAAGCTAAAGGAGTTCATCATCACCAAACCAGAATTATATGAATTGCTGAAGGGGGTTCTTTCAGAAGAGAAAGTAAATAAAGATAAAAATTATGAACAACAAATACGTAACTATCAACAAGTGAATCTAAAAACCAAGGAAATAAAAAAAAAATCTGAGGAACAATATTAACTGTTGAATATAATAGAATCAGAGGTATGGAAGGGGAGTGAACTGATGATTCTTGAGGAAAAGGGGAGAGGGGGATGTGGGAAGAGACTGAACATAAACTGTGCACCTATGGATGAGGACAATGGGGGGTGGGGGAAGGGCAGAGGGTTGGGGGGGGGAACATTTGTAATAATATGAACAATAAAAATTTATTTAAGAAAAAAAGAGAAAAGAAAAAAATAAAATAAAAAAGTTGGCACAGCCAGCATGGCTCAGTGGTTGAATATCAATCATCAATTTATTCAATCTATGAACCAGGAAGTCAAGGTTTGATTCCTAGTCAGGGCACATGCCTGAGTTGCAGGCTTGATCCCCAGTGTGGGGGTTGCACGAGGCAGTTGATCAATGATTCTCTCTCATCATTGATTTTTCTATCTCTCTCCCTCTCCCTTCAGTTCTGAAATAAATATATATATATATATATATATATATATATATATATATATGTATATATATATATATATTTTTTTTTTTTTTCCTTAAAAAAGTTGGAGCTACTGAGACTGGTTTGGCTCAGTGGATAGAGCGTCGGCCTGCGGACTGAAAGGTCCCGGGTTCGATTCCGGTCAAGGGCATGTACCTTGGTTGCGGGCACATCCCCAGTGGGGGTGGTGCAGGAGGCAGCTGATCGATCTTTCTCTCTCATCGATGTTTCTAACTCTCTATCTCTCTCCCTTCCTCTCTGTAAAAATCAATAAAATATATTTAAAAAAAAAAAAAAAAAGTTGGAGCTGGCCCTAGCCGGGTCCAAAGATTCCAGACACCACAGCTCTTGAACCACATATTCAAGTTGTGCAGACCTAATACCATAACCAAAGACCTCCAAGCCTCCCTGCCTTACCCAGGATTCCTATTCTGCCCTGCTCCTCTCTCCACTTTGAACTGCATGTGTTCACATCTGCCCCCCACAGTAGATGGCATTGATCTCAAGCCTGTTTTTGGAGGGCAGGGAACACATTTGCTTTCCCTTGGTTTCCTCTGCTCCCATCTCTATCCTCTGAATCTACCACAGAAGTTTGTACCCAGTAATTCAAGATATCCTTTTTTTGTTTTTTTCAAAAAAAAATAAGTTTTTCATTAGCCTATCTGCCTTCCCCTACTTCAAAACACACAGCCTTACCTTCGTGCTATTCAGTCCCAGGTGTTGGTGGAGCAAAAGCAAGCACTTCAGATGCAAAGTAAAGCAGGGCTGAGCCAGGACTCATAGACCGCATCTCCTAGAACTTATATCCAGCTGAATATATACCCTCTTCCCAGATCAGATTATTATTCCCTGTCACAAATTAATCTGATTTTTGAGTTAATCCCTGGGAGGGCAAATCAGAAAACTTGGAAATGAGATTAACCCCTTTCACAAATTAATCCCTGGGAAGGCAAATCAATTTGGGAAACCAACAATGCCTTGGGGCTACAAAGTCATCTGTGGGTAACGGGTTTGTTCTCTCCTTATCTTCCTGCCAAAGACCTAGCTGCTGATGAAAATCCTTCTCGTTGCCCACGCAGCCCCTTGGGTTCCACTCCTACAAAATGGGCACAAACCTGGGTGGCTCCTAGGATCCTAGGTGGATCTTGGATTTAATATTATAAGTGGTTGGGAGACCCTTTTTATTTCAGGGTTCTGGGGTGAGCTAGAGGCCTTGATGTTTTGAAGGAGTGTGATGATGTTGTAGAAGTATTTTCACATTTTCTAGCTAGATTTTTAAAAATGAGCAAAGATTTTTACCCAAATGAACAATCACTTTGGTTTCATAATTTGTATGGCTGATTTTATGAACTCTTGAAAGTATCTTTCTAGGTAAAAGTTAAGAAGCTTTCTTCTAGAACATCTTGGGGTGTCTGTCTCCCACACCCACGCCCTCTCTGTGTGGTATAGGGGGACGGCATGATATTTCCTGCCTGCTGCCAAGCACAGGCCATGACGACTGCCTGCTGTTAGACTATCTCTCTGCCCCTCTTTCCCCTCATTCCATATCTACACTGTGACGTCTGTGCCCTCTTAAGAAAAACAAAACAAAATAAATAAGAAGAAGAAAAAGAGAGAGAAAATTAAAAATAAAAAAAGTGAAGTCTTTCCTCTCACACCAGGTGATTTGCCTCACACTGCACGTGACTAAAAGCACTAGATTCTAGGGTAAAATGCACCAAGCCTTGCCGAGACCGGTTTGGCTCAATGGATAGAGCGTCGGCTTTGGGACTGAGGGGTCCCGGGTTCAATTCCGGTCAAGGGCATGTGCCTTGGTTGCGGGCATATCCCCAGTAGGGGGTGTGCAAGAGGCAGCTGATCGATGACTCTCTCTCATCGATGTTTCTAACTCTCTATCTCTCTCCCTTCCTCTCTGTACAAAATCAATACAATATATTTTTTTTTAAAAAATGCACCAAGCCTCTATCCTATCTAATAAAAGAGTAATATGCAAATTGACTATCACTGCAACACACAAGATGGCTGCCCCCATGTGGACACAAGATGGTCTGCAGGAAAGGGCAGTTGGGAGTGACCAGGCCTGCAGGGGAGGGCAGTTGGGGGTGACCAGGCTGACAGAGGAGGGCAGTTGGGGGGGGCGCACAGGCCTACAGGGAAGGGCAGTTGGGAGGGACAGTGGCAAGGGAGGGCAGTTAGGGGGGACCAGGCTGACAGAGGAGGGCAGTTGGGGAGGAATAGGCCTGCAGGGAAGGGCAGTTGGGAGGGACAAGGCCTGCAGGGGAGGACAGTTGTGGGGGGACCAGGTCTACAGGGGAAGGCAGATGGGAGGACAAGGCCTGCAGGGAAGGGCAGGTGGAGGTGATCAGGCCTGCAGGGGAGGGCAGTTGGGGGAGGCCAGGCCAGTAGGAGAGGGCAGTTGGGAGGGACCAGGCCTATAGGGGAGGGCAATTGTGGGGAACCAGGCCTGCAGGGGAGGACAGTTGGGGAAGGGGGACAAGGCCTACAGGGGAGGGCAGTTGGGGGCAACTATGCCAGCAGGAGAGGGTAGTTAGGGGTGACCAGGCCTACAGAGGATGGCAGTTGGAGGCAACCAGGCTGGCAAGGGAGGACAGTTAGGGGTTACCGGGCCAAGAGGGGAAGACAGGGGGAGGCAACCAGGCCTGTAGGGGAGGACAGTTAGGGGCAATCAGGCTGGCAGGGGAGCATTTGGGCATCCATCAGGCTGGCAGGAAAGTGGTTAGGGGGTGATCAGGCTGGCAGGCAGAAGTGGTTAGGGGCAATCAGGCAGCCAGGCAAGCACGTGGTTGGGAGCCAGTAGTCCTAGTTTGTGAGAGGGATCCCAGATTGGAGAGGGTGCAGGGTGGGCTGAGGGATACACATACGCACCCCCCCACCCCTGTATATGAATTTCATGCACCGGGCCGCTAGTTTTCAATATTACAACTAGTGGATTTCTAATTAGTCAACTAGAGGTGCCATCTACTAAAAGGTAGAAAACTAGAGGAAAAATAAATTGAAGGAATTCTGCTTTTGGATCAAGAGTTAATCATTCTTTCTATGATGATATTCCAGAAGATCCTGTAACTTGCACTTAGCATTGTTTTCCCCCAGGGTAGGGTGCTTCACCCAAAATGTGTTCTGATCCAGCAGGGCTGGGGCCAGGGCTGGCCTGTCACTTGCTTTCCTTCTAAATATTTACAGATACAACCAAGTGTACAGGCAACCACGCCCTCTGTTGGTTTATTATGAAACTGTAATCAAATCAAGCTCCTTTGCACTTAGTCCTTTCACTGTCATTGTGCACAGAAGATAATAACTTGGAAGAACGGTTGATCAGGAGCAGGGGTAGCCCAGGAACTCTTGAGAAAGAAGCTCTGATAACTCTGAGGTGAAGATAACTTCAGGCTAAGCAGACAACGCTGGCTTTTATGATTCCCATCTGATAGATGAGGAAGCTGGAACTAGGGCACAGCGTCATTTAAGTGGAAAAAACTGAACAGCAGAACTCCTTTCTGTGTCCTAGTATGGGCTGTCAGAGCTATACCATATTTCTTCTGAATGCTTTGGAATTTTTTTTTCAGGGTAGAAATACAAGGTGAATGTTTAAATGTTATTCCGTTATACTTTTGGGACCATCTAAAAAGCAAATCAGACCCTGGAGTAGCTGAGTTGGGTAGAGCATTGTCTAAGGTTGTGGGTTTGATTTCTCAGTAAGGGCACATACAAGAATCAACCATGAATGCATAAATAAGTGGGGGAAAAGTTAATGTTTCCCTCTCTCTTTCTCTCTTCTCTTTTCCTCTCTCTAAAATCAATCATAAAAATATTTTAAAGGAAAATCATAGAGATATTCATTCTTTTTTTCATTCACCAGATATTAATCAAAGACCTAATATACGCTGGATAGTTTTTCATAATAGAGATACAGTAGTAATGGATTACAGGAGTAAGTGGAAGTTGTACTGACACTCTCAGTACCAAAGTGAAAATACAACTGAAATCCAGAGATACAGTAATAAACCAAACAGACAAACTTCCTGCCTACATATTCAAATATGAAGTGATGAATGAGCCCTGTGACACTCAGAGTTAGAGGTTTGGGAAATATGACGAAATGGTAAGAAGGTCAAAAGGAAGCTTGACTAGTGCGGTGTCATGGAAGCCAAATGAAGAAACTAGTTTGAGAGAGAGTAAGTCACTGTGTCAAATGCTGCAGATAGGTTGAATAAGATGAGGAATGAGAACTGACCATTGGATATAACTATGGTTTCTCTAATTCTACCCTGACTTATAATGGCTTGTCTTATTCTAACTTTCCCCCCAGGTTGTAGCAGATACTAATATAAGCGCCATAGCAACTCAGCTTGAAAGCTTGTCTACGGGCTACCACCTTGGTTCACCCTCTGCTGACCACCAACCGGAAGACACAGAGTAAGTGTCCTAGAGGCAAAGTGCCTATTATGTGTGTGGGTAATGCTCAGTGAGACCTTTTTCAGCTTAATCTAGAGCATACTTCCTGAAGAAGAGGAGGGGAAAGTACATACTACTTTTCTAATTTATAGTCTCCAAGAGAGTCCAGGGTTTCCTTATTTCTCACAGAGCTTTGTCCCACTGGATAAGTTCTTAGCAGACTGGTGGCGCAGGGCCTGCATGCCCTGTGTCTGGTCACTCTGACATGTGCCTAGGCCTCTCCTCCCCCTCCCTCTCCCCCCAGAAACCACAGAATTACAGCCCAAGTGCACCCTGTCCATTATGCAAGGAACTGCGTTTCCTCAGTTTTCTAAGCAAAATCTCGTGGCACTTGCTGGCATCCTTCATTAAAACAAGTCATTACCATGAAAGTTGCTCATTAAGGCAGCATTTCTCAAACTGGAATGTGCATACGAATAATCTAAAGAGCATATATTACAATGCTAATCTTGCTGGGCTCATTCTCAGAGATGCTAAGTGGGTGGTCTGCAGTGGGCTACAGAGAGGCAGAGCACCTGCACTTCAAGAAATGCTGTTATTCCTCTCAGTACTAGCACTGCCTGGTCACCTCTCAGTACCAGCACTGCTCCATAAATATTTGTTGACTGATCTGAATGGTTTATTGGAAAGATCTGGTGTCACAGCCATTCCCAACTTTTTCCTGGTGTTTTATCAACTTAAATGACACTCTTGGATTTGTTTTTCTTGAGGAAAGAATATTAAACTAAGTTCATTTTACCATGTTCTCATTATGAGAGTAATAAACCATGCTTTTAAAATATGACAAATACATGAAAATATAGCATTTTCAAGTTAAAAATAGCCCTTTCTTTAAAAAAAAAAAAAAAAAAAAAAAAAAAAAAAAAAAAAAACAGGACCCTTGTAGGAGGAGTAGCATACATTTAGCAGTTTTTGATCCCTATTTTTAAAAATTTTTTATTAATTTCAGAAAGGAAGAGAGAATGAGAAAGAGAAACATCAATGATGAGACTCATTGATTGGCTGCCTCCTACTGGGCTCAAGCCTGCAACCCAGGCATGTGCCCTAACTGGGAATTGAACTATGACCTCCTGGTTCACAGGTTGACACTCAACCACTGAGCCATACCAGCCAGACTATATCTTTTTTTTTTTTTTTTCCTGATTCCACAGCTGCACAGCTCTTGACAGGTTGAGAACCACTAGCTTAAGAAAATTTAAATCACTTATAATTCAACCACTGTTAACATCCAGAGATTTTTTTTTTTAGTATTCTAGATGAAAAATTACAACTAATTGAAAATGTGAGATAAATGGAGGCAAAGTCCATCTGATGTTGCCAGTTGAGAAGTGGAATGCATTCCTCCCTCTCTTTCTCTGAAACAGGTCCCTAATTGGCAATAGATGTGATTAGGAAGGTCTCTAATGATTTACTGGTCCCCAGGAGCCAGTTCTAAAACAATGGCTTTAGATATCTAGGTTCCCATTCCAATATTCTTGGAAATGGGGGCTTGTGTGTGAAAGAGGAAACAAATCAAGTTCATGTCTAGCCAGTGAGTCATTCCTGAGAGTACTTATAAAGCCACCAAGTGATGAAAGGCAGAGCCTTATTCATGACGTCATTACCATTCAGCCGTAGGGGGTAATTCATCACTATTTTATCAGATATTTATTATTGCCTTCCTAAGGCTCGACACTGTATAGTGCTGGGTCCCGAGGATTCAAACTTAGGAACATAAGTGAAGGCATTGCCCCAGTTCTCAAGGAACTGCCAGAGACCCATAAACCTGTGGTTATAAGATTGATAAGTATCGGAGAGCTAAGTTCAGTGGGAGAGATGAGTAAGCCCAGGGTCCTGGAAACCAATGGAAGGAGCACAACTCAATTAGAGAGTGTACTTGGAGGCACTAACTCTAAAGCTGAGGGGTTTTTTTTATAGTAATTGGGAAAAGCAGGAATTGCATTCAAAACAGTCAACAATTTATGTGGTATAGACATTCAGCAATTACTATGGCTGCCTGCTATACACAGCCAATAAGAACTTCAACAAACAACTGAAAATCAAGCCTGAAATTAGCCAAGCAAAATTGGGGAGAGGGAAGAATATTCTAGTCAGACAGAACAGCATACTCAGGGTTGCTTGCATCCCAGTTTTGCAAATTTTTCTAAACGTGCGAACGGCTGAGTTCACACCACCTGGTTCTGCCTCCCGGACATGGATGCTGCCACAGAGCAAGGGGTACTGCTAGGCTACAGATCTGAGCCTCCTTCTGCAGATAGGATAGCAGGGTCTACGATACCGGAGTTCCTCCAGATGTTTGTTTATCTGTGGACAACCACGTGTGGGAATCAAAGGCTGGTATGAGTTAAGCTTAGATTGAACTCCGTGAACTGACATAGGTAATTTAATGTTCTAGCCATGTTGTTTCTGAGAGAGATGACTTCCACACTGGACGAAGCTTGGAAAATCTGAATGATATCTTTGCAACACATTGCCTTGATCCCTTTTGCCCTACCTTGGCTTCTCTCTCCTCCCCTGGATTTCAGTTCTCATTGACACAGTCATGATCCTGAGCTTGTTGTAGGCTGTGCTAGGTGCGTAGTGTTAGGAATTCTCAGATGACTAAGACCTCAGGAGTTCATGGTCCCGTAGGGGAGGGAGAGGGGTACGTCACCACAATACACCTCCACAAGGGCCGTCATGGACACCTGGCCGAGTGCAGAGGGAGCACCAAGAAGGAGAAGCTGACTCTCCCAGGGGAGTCATGGGAGCGCCACAGTGGAGGTGGCTTTTGAAGAATGACTTTGCACCTTAGATGGACGTGGCGGAGCAGGTGCGTGAGGGTGTTCAGGCAGAAAAAGAACAGCAGTGCAGTTTACTAAGTTATCAGGCCACCGTCACCCGCTCAGGACACAAGTCCACCTGCAGACTGGCAGTCTACACTCCACTCAGATGATGCCCCGAGCACATTCTTTAAGGATGTAAAGACAGCTCCATTCAGTTTTCTTTTAAAAGTATCTTTATTGATTTTTATAAAGAGAGGAAGGGAGAGGGGGTAGAGAAACATCCATGTGAGAGCAAAATATCAGTTGGCTGCCTCCTACATACCCCCTACCTGGGATCAAGCCCACAACCCGGGCATAAGTCCTGACCAGAATCAAACTGTCAACCTTTCAGTGCACAGGACAACGCCCAACCAACTGAGCCACACAGGCCAGGCCTCCATTCAGGTTTAAATAGTCAACTTAAAAAAGTTTAAAACTAAGCACAGAGAAGGATGCTTTGACAATTTCAGGATCATGACTTTATTTGTAAATAAAAAACAGTGGGTTGTAGGAAAGGGAAACCCCTAAAACATCAAGACTATTGGTCATTAGTCCAGCATGACATGGGAAACTTTTTTTTAAATGTTCCTAGATTGCTCTCTCAGAGTTTGATTTGATCTTAATAGTTTCGCAGTATGAAAGTCTCTCTCAAGTCTGTGTTCTTCCATGAAAATGAAATTCCTCTTCAATATCTACTCTTCAATTAAACAGCATGCATTGTGTTTTCAGAACACCTCCACCTAAGATTATTACTTTGGAGAAAGGCTCTGAAGGATTGGGGTTTAGTATTGTAGGGGGTTATGGAAGTCCCCATGGAGACCTGCCAATTTATGTCAAGACTATATTTGCAAAGGTATTTTTTTCCTTTTTTACTGTACTTTTTTTTTTTTTAATCAAACCTAGGTGAGATTTTTTTTTTTTAAGTGTTTTGGTTTATTTTGGGCTATACCTGAATGTGTACATGTATGCTTATTTCATTTTAATTTTATAGGAAATTCCTGTACCACACTGGTGAAAGATAAGTTCTTTTATAATAGTAGAGTCACAGAGATGTAATTTCCTTTGGACTCTGCAACAAAAGTACATGCTGGCAGATTTTAATGATTGTCTTCTTTCCACAACACAACATCAGGAGCAGTACCATGATCTTGGTATTACTGTGGGCTAGAACAAAGATGTGTTCTCCTTTAAGAAAAGGTAGCAGAAAAGAAAAAGAAAGAAAAAGTAGCAGACACAAGAGAGACACATAGCATAAAGCTTTGTACAAGCCGCAGATCAGTGCAACATTCATGGCTTCCGGTCACTAAAAACCTCAGGAAACTTGAGTTTAAGGTGGTTTCTTTCTTACAGTATACTCTACCAGATACCTACCTGCGGGACCAGCCCAGGAAGTTAGATGAAGACTAGATAATCCTGTTTTTCAGGGATTAGATATTCCAGCGTATCCTACTTAACACACAGGTCATGGCGTGCATGCTTCTCAGATGGCTCTTAGTTGTTATTTTTAACTTCCTTAGGATTTTTATTTATTTGTTAATTTATTTATTTATTTTTAATATATTTTATTGATTTTTCACAGAGAGGAAGGGAGAGGGATAGAGAGTTAGAAACATCGATGAGAAAGAGAGACATCGATCAGCTGCCTCCTGCACACTCCCCACTGGGAATGTGCCCGCAACTAAGGTACATGCCCTTGACCAGAATCGATCCCGGGACCTTTCAGTCCGCAGACCGACGCTCTATCCACTGAGCCAAACAGGTTTCGGCTCATTAGGATTTTTAAAGTTGGAATGTGATTTTATTATAAACTTTGAAGAGCTTTGAAAAGCATTCAGTATTGATATTGCCATTTTCTCATTGGTTTTATCACAGTCATTTATTAATTGATCCAATTGTCCCCTTTAGCTTTATTTTCCTAAAGACATAAAGATCTTTTAAAAAAAAAAAATGGTACTTTCTCTTTCTAGAAAGCTGTACTATACACTCAGTACAAGTCCACTTTTCCCCGGGCATATCTTATCACCTGCTAATGGGGCCTAACTGGGACCTGATCTAATTCTAAAGCCTTTGGCACAGGCTTTGGCACAGGTGTACTCACCTGTTTCCATCTTGCTAAGGTGCCTATTAAGAAGGCATGTTATTCCTAAACATGCATCTGTGGACTTGGTGACTGGCCAAAGGATAGAAGGGAGGCAAATTAGGAACATTCTAGATAACAGTGCTGCCTTGGTCTGATCATTCCCAAGGTGGATCAGCCACCTGCAGTCACCACCATAAGTAGTCACAATGATGACTTCTTTGGGGCATTATTATACTTTGCCTTTAAGAGAGCCAGCTATGGAGATACAGGTAGAGGAAAGGCTGCAAAATGAGCCCTCACCTTTTAGCAAGTTGCGCCTGTGCCTCCGCCTCGAAAGGCGCCTCCAGAATGTTGTCATCACCATTCACTTTGTCACTGTAGGGAGGTCAGCTGTGGTCCAGAGAGAGGACTGCTTACCTTCTAAGGGCTTTGGACCCTAGGCCCAGAGTTGAGCAGCCTGCACCAGCCACACCTGTCTCCACGGACACGGACACCGGTGGGGCCAGAGCTGGGCAGCTTTTGTCAGGTCACTCACCAGGACATACAGCTGAGAGTGCAATGACCATGTCCTGCTGGTGGGTTTTTGAAAAGAAGCAACCATCAAATCACAGTGGGACAGCATGGTGGGGATAATGAATGGACTGAAGCTCACACAAAATGCTCTTTTTAAAGGTCCCCATTGAAAGTGCCCATTTAGGAAGCACTCAGCATAGAGTAAATATTGAGTATCATTGGCCTGTTTTGTTTTTTAAGGGGTGGACCTTTTTTGTAAAGTGAGGCACACCTGAAAATTAAAAGCTCTGAACTAAAAAAAAGAATACACTTAAGGCCCTAGCTAATGGCCTGCTTGGTTGAGTCAGCCTCAATAAAAAAATATTCCAATGCAATTTATTATTGTTAAGATTGTTTCATAGAGTTTTCTATAAGATTTCATTTGATGACTTTTTCTTTCCTTTTTTTATGTGTCAAAGTGAGCCAAAATACCCAAATTTAAAAGTTTTCTTAAAAGAATCAATAAAACAAAAACTGGCAAAGGAATTTTTCCATTAAATAGTAGTCTTTCTAAAACAAATTCTGACACTAAGCTAAACATTTTCCCATAGAAATTTTGAATATCTAGAAACTATAGTTATATGCTTTCTGTGTTTTTTAATACCGAACACATATTATTAAAAATGCTTGACTTTTTAGGTTTCTAGATCTTAGATAACTTGCAACAGGGTGTGGATTTTTTTTTTTATCCTCACCTGAAGATATGTTTTATGTGTGTATTTTTCATTGATTCTAAAGACAGAGAGGAAGGGATAGGGAGGGAGAGAAGAAGAGAGAAACATCGATCAGTTGCCTCTTGTACATACCTCATTTGGGGGTAGAACCTGAAACTTGGATATGTGGCCTCATAGGGAATCCAACCCTTGACTTTTTCATACACAGGACAACACTCTAACCATTTAGCACACTGGCCAGGGCTCTTTTTTTTTTTTTTTTTTTTAATTGAGAGAGAGAAAAATATCAATTTGTTGTCCCATTTATTTATTCATTCAGTGGTTGCTTCTTGTATGTGCGCTGACCATGGATCAAGCGCGCAACCTTGGTGTATCAGGATGATGCTCTAACCAACTGAGCTACCTGGCCAGGACTTGGGTGTGGATTTTTATGTGGCTTTTTTGGTGTCCTAAGCCTCATTTAATATTTCTTACTCAACTAAAAAATTAATTTGGCCCATCAAGATCTCTTTCCACTCTAGAAATATGAAGCATAGCAGGCACTTGGGTATATAGAATTTGCAAGACCATTGTCTTTCAGATGTTTGGTTGGAAACTTCAAAATCAAAGCCAAATTAGGTCCTAATCCCTTTAGCAGTCAGATTTTACCATAAGCAAAACAAACAAAACAAAGTCATGGACCTAACAGCTTCAACAGCCCTGAAAATTTAGGAAGCAGTCTTTCAGATCATATAAGAGCATGAGTTTGATCATCAGGGGAGTTTCATTGTATTATATTATCACCATTGGTGAGTAAATATTGTGTGCCATACATTTAATCCTTAGAGCAGGTGAAAATTAGAGAGCAAATGCCCGTTTACAAAGCAGGGAAGGCTAAGTGAGCAATCTGGACACAGCGAGTGGGTAAAAGCCTCATTTCCCAACCAGATGGAGGTCTGTCTGCAAGCCATTTCTTTCTTTCTTCTCTGCGTAGTCCTCAAATGCCACATTGATAGAGTAGGAGAGAAGATACAGGTCAGTAGGAATTATCATGTAAGCATAGAAATACCTGGAATAGTGTACAGACCCTAGAAAGCTGAAAAGTCATCCTTTTTTGCTTTCCTGAAAATAAAAATTTGAAGAGCTTAACGTGCCTTAAAAAAAAAAAAAAAAACTAATTACACAAATAGCTGGGGTTCACTGGAGCCCTTAAATCTGAGTGTAAAATTTAATAAAGTCCAGTCAGCCAATAATTCTGATTTCATTCATTAGAGTTAACTTGTTTAATCCTGACTTTAGTACAGTTATCACAGTTCTTAAAATAGAAAAAAAAAATTGTAATGACGTTGCAAGTTATTTAATTTTGGAATCCACCACCCCCACCCCCAGTAAAAGCCTGGTTTGAGTATTCTTTATTACAGTTTTATCCAGGAACTCTACCCTTTTTGCAGTTTTGAAATTCTAAATAATCCACCCACCAACTCAGGACCTCCACCTCCAGTGGACACGGGCCTCTGGGATGTCAGCGCCTCTTCATTCGACTTCTGAATGAGCCAGGCAGGTCCTAGGCACAAGTGGGCCTGACTTAATTTCCCCAGTAAGTCAGCACCACTTAAGGACCCTTAGGGCACTGACTTTTCATAGGATTTTCTTGGTTACCCATCAGGTGAGAAAAGTCTGGGTCTTCTTTTTTTTTACTGACACAAAATGTTTCTGGTACTCTCATGGCATTTTCTAAAAATATATATATTTTATTGAATTTTTACAGAGAGGAAGGGGGAGGGATAGAGAGTTAGAAACATTGATGAGAGAGAAACATCGATCAGCTGCCTCCTGCACACCTCCCACTGGGGATGTGCCCACAACCAAAGTACATGCCCTTGACTGGAATCGAACCTGGGATTTTTCAGTTCACAAGCTGACGCTCTATCCACTGAACCAAACCAGTTTCGGCTCTCATGGCATTTTTAGATCCTCAGCTTTAGAATGGAAAAAAGCCCAAGTGTCACTTGCTTGGTGCCATTTTGAGAAGACATGCTGACTGGGTATATAAAGAATGTAGTCATTTAGAAACTGATGTAGATGATCGAAGATATGTGAAGTGGAAGTTTTTTTATTATGATATTGATAGCAAAATTTTAGACATGCTACACTGTTGTGTATGTTTACATAGAAGAGCTTTGTTGAGATATAATTCTTATACCATACAACTCATCCATTTAGAGGCTAGGCTTATTATTTTTTTACACTTATTTTTGACAGATCACCACAAAGCTGATAGGTTAATAACACAGTAGGAACCCTGTACATATAATAAAACTAACACCAGATTCAGTTCTGCCTTCATTTGTGTATGACATATTCATGAAAATGACATTCAAATTCCATTTAGCACTTAATATTGAAATAAGGTCCTACTTGTATTAAAAAAAAATGTGGCTGTTATTACATTTCTACTAATATGTTACTTAAACAATGCATAGTTAAGGTTACTATTCAATGACTATTTGAATAGCATATCCCGAATTTTTCTTAAGTTTCTTAATTTAAAAATATTACCTAGAAATGACTTTAATTGGTAATTTTTAAAGTTACTCTTTTAATATGCACACCATATTACTAATATGATTTGAATTGCCTCACCCTGGATTAAACTGGAATGTTTCTTGTTTGTAGGGAGCAGCTGCAGATGACGGCCAATTGAAGCGAGGTGATCAAATTTTAGCTGTTAATGGCGAGACTCTAGAAGGTGTCACTCATGAGCAAGCTGTGGCCATTCTAAAACGCCAGACAGGGACTGTAATCCTAACTGTGCTGTCATGAGCCTCGGGTCCTGATCTCAAAACAGCCACAGGAAGATGAAGCTCTGAGAGGATGAGGAGCAACTTCAGCTGAAACCCACCTTCACCGATTCTTACTGCCTCATCCTCTCTGCTCAGGAGAGATGCTGAGCTTCCCGTGGATTTCCCACATCAACAGTCATCTCCCTAATGCTTCCCAGCATCCATCACTTCTTGGTGAAGTTGAATGTGTCTTATCTGCTTTGCATTTACATCGATGTGTATCAACTAGTAGCAACTGGATCTGATTATATTTGCTGAAACGGTAGTTGACAACCACTCATTCATTATGTCCTGCTCTCCCCATCCCTACTCAGAGGCTTACTAGTGATCTCAGATCTCATCTGCTGAACATAAACAAAGGTTAAGCAACTGTCAGCTCACTCCTGATTTACTTACATATGCTAATTGTGTCTTCAAGAACGCCAGAAAACATTAGCCGTGTAATTAATTTCCCAGTGATCTCCAGGATGAAATACCAACTTCTCCTGTGGGAAATTACTGTGCACTCTTCTGTACGACTCACAGTCAAATAAGTCTCACACTCAGTTCTCGGGATAGATCTTTATACATTAGTCATTGGTGATTATGATGAGTCAATTTGCAGACTGTAATCTGAAAACTCTGAAAGGCTTTCAAATTATTTACTTAGTTACAAAAATGCAGACCACCTAGCAAAAGCACCTTATTCTCAACAGGAACAATTAGCACCCATGTTCTGAATTCTAACAATGCGAAATTATGTTCCAGTCTGGGAAGTTCAGCTGGAGGTAATGGCATCTCAGTAGGCAAGTATCATTCCCACCCCTCAATCCTCGGACGGGGTGGAACCCCCAAAACCACACTGCAGAGATCAGCAAGTTTTGCCTCAAGGTCTGGGTGACCTTGGCCTTTCAGCACACGGAGTGACAAATTTGAGTATCCTTCCCCTTGGCTCCAGACTGGTCAGTCTAATAGCACAGACTGTAGGAACACAGATAGAACATTGTACATAGCCACAAGGTGACGGAGCAAATAAACTGAGCCTAGGAATCCGTGACAGCTCCTTGGCTAATGTCTCCTGGTCTCCATTCACTGTAGTTTTGCATTTTAAGAAAATAACTACAGCAGAAAGTGCAAACATACCTTTAAGGGTGGTTAGGGTCATTCTTATTCCGGTATTAGCAGGGGAGGGAAATGGGGAGATGCTTATCAGTGCCTGTTTTAGGTTCTTCTGTTAAAAAACACACACCAGGAGGATGAGTACCGGCATCGCTAATGGAAGTAGTTGGCATTATTTAACTAAAACACAATGCTGCAAGTGGATCATAGTAATTATCAAAATGTAATAGTTACCTTTCTAATTTAAAATGGTATTTAATACATATAGGTTTTAATGGAGAATATCTTTTGAGTAAATATAACCACAAAGTGCATTAACTCTCGGTGGAATATTTTGTGGCTATTCCAAAGTCTAGAGTGCCTAAATTTTATGCTGAAAATGTCTTTCATGATTGGTATTAAATTTTCTGAAATTGCACATGGCTTTTGAAATTTCTAATGTATCCAAGATATGCAATATTGTTAGGATCCTGTCTTTCAATGCATGCGAAGCTATCAACCTCTGGACATTCTATGTTCATTGTATCTGCAAGAACAGCTCAGGCATCCAAGAAGAAATGATGCCCAATATATATAAAACTTGAAAATGCACCTCAAAACAATATATACATATATGTACTTTTGAAATGTGATTCTGCTTGATTTTGATGGAATGGCCATTAAATACACATTTTGAAATAATACATCGTTGTTGTGTGTCTTTACCCATTACCCTTTAGGTCATGTTATTCAAAATCTGATAAAGGAATTGTGATGCTTGATCCTCCTTGCTGCAGGAAACTGACAGAACTAGTGCTTCTCATAACGGTTCCTATCTCTGCTTGCATGCCTAATCAAAAACACTTTTTTTTTTTTGCATCAGAACATACAAACGAAAAGATATGATGAGAAGATGGGAATTTGTGAAAGAAGTTTTCTCAGCCTCATGTATCATTTTGGCTTCATCATTTGGACCATTTATGTATAGTAGTAATAGCACTAATTGGAGTTAGCGTGGGAAGGAAGTAAACCAGGAAAAGCAAAACTGCTGAATGTTTGTATGTACAAGATGTTAAGATTTTATTTTAAGATTTTAAATAAACATAGTTGTTAAAGGAGCAAATGGAATCTTATTATATATGAAAAAAAAGTTTAATTTCTATATCTGATTTTTTTTTTCTTCAGCCATTTTATCCCTAATAGGAAAGGGGAAAAAATCCAACTTTTCACATGGTTTTCCAGTATCCTTCTAAATCTGAGACCCATTCATAACTGTCACATGTATTAATTGTCAGGTATGTTGTTGGGCATTAGAACAGATGCTTTACAAAGGAGCCAGCCTGGTAATCCAGAAGGTGAGTCTTGGCATCACACTAAGTTCATATGCTAACTTACCAGGCATGTGACCTTGTCAAGTTATTTAAGCAAGCCTTGCTTTAGTTTATCCACTCAGAAAGGATTAGGGGGAAGGGGGAAGTTTCTAAGCACTATAATGGCCAAAATCCAAGTATAACTCTTAGCATAGTGCCTGGCTCATAGTAAGTACTATATAAATAAACATTAGCAATAAAGCTCTTACCCCATGTATGGAGGTGGCCTGAAATTAGGCACTTATGGTGCTGGTGATTGGTGGTTTCAGTTAGAAATAACCTTTAAAAATATATATTCTTTTTTTAAATATGTTTTATTGATTTTTTTACAGAGAGAGAGTTAGAAACATCGATCAGCTGCCTCTTGCACACCCCCCACTGAGGATGTGCCCACAACCAAGGTACATGCCCTTGACCAGAATTGAACCTGGGACCTTTCAGTCTGCAGGCCAATGCTCTATCCACTGTGCCAAACCGGTTTCAGCTAAAAATATAAATATATTCTTCAAGGTGGCTTACTTCTGAACTATTGCTCCAAATCAGAGAGCAAAGTATGTAACTGGTTACAACAGTGCAAGCCCGAGGAACTAGAGGCTGTGCCATCAAAAGCTACAACTGAGCTGAAACCAGTGCTTCCATCACCAGCTATGCCACTGGGATAGCGAGTGACACCAGCTCGATAGGCCTGCCTCCCACCTTCGGGATGACACTTTAACCTGCCGAGCAACCGGCCAGGGCAAATTTTTGACAACTTGACTCAATCTTCAGATTCTCTATATTTAAGATGAAAAAAGAAGCATTTCACTGCCTGCACAGGACCAAGGTGAAAACGAAAATGTGTCTGACTATGTAAGACTTTCACCTCCACCAGCTCTGAGCATTTCCTTCATTTCCAATGACTTTAAGAAACAAGCCACTGTGGTCTGGGTCCCTGAGATACTGTGTCCAGCAGCAGGGTCCATGCTGGGCAGAGACACACGGGAGCAAAAACTTCTCCGGTCCTCTCTCTAGAACCAGACTTTAGAAATGGTGGCCGCCTCTCGCTGGAGTCCGTCCTGCCCTCCGCACCACCGCTCCCACTCCACAGGTGGGAGAAACATGCCAGGGCGAGTGCCTGGCTTGCCCCGTCACCCAGCTAATTGGCAAGCGGAAGAATCTTTAATAAGCCTGTGGGAATTCATCAGGTTAGCAAACTCTTGTAGAGTACCCATGCACGACTTCTAAATTAGCCTGAATTTTTAAAAGCTTATTTCTGTTCTCCCTAATATAGCTCTGCCACACAAGGCTGTAAAACAACGAAAAAGAGACATATCTCTTGGATGTTGGGAAAGAAGACTTGGTCTATCAATTTGCCATACCTCTCTACATTCTGAGACGAATTCCCAAGGCAAGACACCTGGAAGCCGTCATGGTTTAAGCATCTTCTTCTCAGGGAGCCACAGTCCATGGCAGGTGCAGTGCCAGCAGCTCCTCCTGCCCAACGTCTCGACTGGGCATGTGCCCAGCTTTCCTCTCCTGGGAGAACAAAAGAAAGGGTGATGGTGTAAAGAGTGCCAGCTATTCAACCCCAAAGCCACGTTTTATTTTCCTGGAACCTCAGAATAGCTGTTAGAAAACAGGCTTCCATGGTCCCCACCCCCTGAAGGATAAGATTGACCTGTTTTTGCCCTGCCAGCGTGGCTCAGTGGGTAAGCATAGACCCATGAACCAGGAGGTCACCATTTGTATCTCAGTCAGGGCATATGCCCGGGTTGTGGGCTTGATCCCTAGTAGGGGGGAGGAGCGTGCAGGAGACAGCTGATCAATGATTGTCTCTTATCACTGATGTTTTTCTCTCTCTCCCCCCCCCCTCCCTTCTTGTCTCAAAAAAAAAAAAAAATTGGGAGCAGAAATTTCCTGTCTCCCATGGTATTAGGGTTCTCCAGAGAAAGAGAACCAATGAGATGTGAGTATTTATGTAAAGAGATTTATTATAAAGAACTGACTCATGAAATTACAGAAGCTGGCAAGTCCAAACTCTCTACAGCGTGGGCTGGCAGGCTCACCACCCAGGGGAGTACATGGTACAGTCGAGCCCGAGGCTGTATGCTGGAGACTTCTCTCCGTTCAGGGAGGCCCAGCTTTTTGTTCTACTCAGGCCTTCAACTGGCTGGATGAGGCCCACCCACATTATAGAAGGCGCTCTGCTGACTCAACGTCTACTGACTTCACTGTCAGTTCCACCCAAAGAGACCTCCGTGCCAAAGCCAGTTTGGCTCAGTGGTAGAGCGTCGGTCTGCAGACTGAAAGGTCCCAGGTTCGATTCCGGTCAGGGGCATGTACATTGGTTGCGGGCACATCCCCGGTAGGGGGTGTGCAAGAGGCAGCTGGTCGATGTTTCTCTCTCATCGACGTTTCTAGCTCTCTATCTCTCTCCCTTCCTCTCTGTAAAAAAAATCAATAAAATATATTTTTAAAAAAAAGAGACCTCCGTGTTGACACATACCATTAATGGTCACAGACTCCATGGGACCTTGAACTGAAATTCCTCTGG